GGAGTAAATGGGAGTATTAGCGGGTGTGCCACGGCACATTTAAATGAGGGCAGTCTATAAATCAGTTAAGATTGCTTAATTAAGATTCAGCAGCCGCTCAGCCAACTGCCCGTCCTGGTCTGCAATTAGCATTGTGAGCTGCACAGTCCTGACAAACACCTTGTCACCCAGATGTGACTCCGAACCCACTGAGCTCAATGTGAGGATGGTGCCTTGGTTTCTAACCCTTATGTCAGCCCTCAGTTCTTCTGTAGCCGTGGCTTCCGTGGGAGCCTGGGAACTGTGTTGGGATCCTGCTCTGGTCACGCTCAGCAGTCACGGTGACGGCGAGGGCAGTGCTGCCGTAAGCCATGCACCCGGGCTGAGGACACTGGCCTCTCAGGCTCGCCAGAGGGATGTGCGTTTTGACCCGCACGTCTGTAGACCTCGGACGCCCCCGCTGGAGGGGCCGAGTGGCAGTCCAGACATTTCCAGGACTAGTTTTCTGGACTCAGGATCAGCACCTTTTTTTTTTAAGATATATTTTATTGATTTTTTGCAGAGAGGAAGAGAGAGGGATAGAGAGATAGAAACATCGATGAAAGAGAAACATCGATCAGCTGCCTCCTGCACACTCCCCACTGGGGATGTGCCCACAACCAAGGTACAGGCCCTTGATCAGAATTGAACCCGGGACCCTTGCGTCCACAGGCTGACGCTCTATCCACTGAGCCAAACTGGTCAGGGCGGGATCAGCACTTTTTGATTTTGAAAAGTATCAGCCACCTGAATTGTCCCCAGATTCTTGTTGGAGGGGCGGGAAGGGATGGAAGGAGGACAATCGTTAGGACGTTCCAGGGGGCGTCTGAGCAGGTACCTGGAAAATAGGAGCGGCAGCAGGAAAGTCTGTGCAGAAGTTTGTTCATTCCTGAGGGTGTGTCGGGTTCCCAGGGAAGTGAGGAGGCGGCGGGTTCTGGAGGTCCCTGCTTGTCTTTGTAGTTTGCTGCATTTCGTGTGACTAGGAAAGCCTCTGTAACTTGAGTACTTACGAATGCTTAGAAAGCACTGTCAGCAGCTGCGGGCGTGTGTGTGTGTGTGTGTGTGTGTGTGTGTGTGTGTGTGTGATTTGTCATCAGGGCCTGCCACGTGCTGGCACAGTGCATGTCCCAGTGCAGAGCCCGGGGAATTGACGCTGATGGCTTTACTGGTTTGGGCGCTGTTTACTGCATCCGACTAGAGCAGTGGTTCTCAACCTTCTGGCCCTTTAAATACAGTTCCTCATGTTGTGACCCAACCATAAAATTATTTTCGTTGCTACTTCATAACTGTAATGTTGCTACTGTTATGAATCATAATGTAAATATCTGATATGCAGGATGGTCTTAGGCGACCCCTGTAAAAGGGTTGTCGACCACCATAGGTGTGCTGTGCTCTCTCAAGTGCAGAATTTCTTATTTTTGAGAAAGGATCTCTCTTCACAATACCTCCCTAGTGAAAGAATGAAAAGATTACTTTTAGAAATTTCGGTCGAAGACCAACTATTCACGACTGTAAGCATAAAGCGTCCGTGGGCTTTGTAGAAGCCAGACTGGTCCATGGACCACACCCCTCCCTCCAGGCCCTCAGGCAGCCTGTGGTCTGGGCCTTCGGTCGAGGGGCGTAGACTGGCGACCAGGGAGCTGCAAGCACAGTGCACATTGGCTTGATCAGGTACCGGAGAGAATATTGCACATGACCCTCCTGACTCCCAGCAAGCCTGTCTTAGAAATCGTAAATTACGGAGCCCATGAGGTTTTCTAAGAAGGGAGGAATGAATGGGGAGTAACATGGAAAGCTGGTTTCCGTCTTGCTGCTTAGAACTTTCTGAGGGAGCACATAGATGTAATATGTTGGCCAAATGTGGCAAGCACCAGAAGCATTTGGCCCCATATATGTTACCATATTATGTGCTGCAGTCTACATCTCTGTGATTATTCTGTAACTACCAATGTATGCTGCTTGATCCCTTCACATTTGTATTTTTAACGCTCCCCAAACCAAAGAGTTAAGCACTGCTGGTTGATAACCACAACTTAACTGAAACTTTATGTGTGTGTGTGTGTGTGTGTGTGTGTGAGAGAGAGAGAGAGAGAGAGAGAGAGAGAGAATGCACCATGTGGGCAGGGACCTTTTGCACCTCATCGTCAGTGATCAAGAAATAGTCAATAAATCAGGAAAAGTGTGGAGCAATATTGCCCAAAATGTTATTATGATACTGTGAGGAGGCTTTAGGGTAATTCCAATAGACCTCTGCACAGATCGTGTGTGATGTAGAGAGCTCTTTCTAAATTGTTTTAGGAAGTGGTTTTAAGCTCCTGGGCAGCTGCTGTGCAGTGGGAGCTGAATGCGTGTTCCCCGAGTCCGCGGACACCTTTTTCTAAGGGCGGACGTCTCCCCCGAGGGTGTGGGGTTAGGTGCCCGCACCAGACCTGCGGTCCCGGGCGGCGGGCGTGCGCCGGGCATGAGGCGCAGCTGTGGAGAGCTGGCTGCCTCTACCCTCAGCCCCAGGCCTGCTCCTCGCTGCAGCCACAGTCCTGCTGCTCCAGGAAAATCCACGACCAGCAGCACCCGGGCCACAGGAGTGTGGCTGGCTCTTGTACACACAGGTTTTTTCCAAGGGGAGCCTGTGGGTCCACGTGTGCCAGAGACCGGATGACTGCCTGCCGTCCTCTTCCAGGGAGAGATGGACGGTGCACGGCAGCCTTTCTGAGCCACACGACGTCCACAGTTCCCTGGCCAGTACCGGTCCTTTTTGCTCCCAGCTTTCTGTTTTAGGAATGTTGGTCCTGACATGGAAGACTTATTTTGTTGTGGGATCTGTTTTTCCTGTTAGTTGAAATGTGACCGGGTAAATTGGGAGGTGTTCATTTCAGGGGCGTAGAGCATTTCTTTGGGTTAATAAATACTTTTCAGTGGCCCGATATCTCCACAAGAGCAGCTTTTTCTTAGCTCTGACTCTGGGTTGTTAACGTTCTAGTTCATGTGTGAAGTCCGTAAGCTGTGTTTTAGCTCTAATGTTATATTCTGGAAAATGGTGCACATTGGGTGGGGCGAGGGAGTACTCAAGAAAAGAAAACTTTATTACTAATTTAGAAACAGAAGATATACCTCTAACATCAAAATGATGGGACTTATTTTCTCGTGGCTTTCTATACTGTCACACCCAGCAGATTACCACCTGAAGCCGATCTGTTTAAAGTATTTTGTGCATTTCACATCCTGGGGCTTAAGTTAGCCTGACTGATTTTCCAAATGTAGGTAAAGGCAGCTAAACAAGTGATGACAACTTGTTTTGTTGTTTATATGACCAATTCCAGGTAATCCATAGAAATACGTTATTGTTCAGTGCTGTGCCGGAGCAGTCCTCCGAGACACGTGCCAAGAGTGGGGGGTGTATGTTAGAGCCCCATGTGGCATGGACCAGCAGTCCAGGTGCTTCCAGAGCAGTGGTTCTCAACCTTCCTAATGCCGCGACCCTTTAATACAGTTCCTCATGTTGTGGTGAGCCCCAATTTCATTGTTACAAATTGAACATAATTAAAGCATAGTGATGAATCACAAAAACAATATGTGTTTTCTGATGGTCTTAGGCGACCCCTGTGAAAGGGTCGTTCGAGAACCGCTGTTCTAGAGCTGGGCCCAAGGGGTGAGGACCAGGGTCCAGGTGCCTCCAGAGCAGGGCCCGATGGACAGTCGCTCAGAGCTTTCTTCCATCTGAGACGAGGCACCGCTCACAGAAAACCACTGCACGTTGAGACGTGATTCTCTCTGACAGCGCGTGGAATGACAGCTGAGGTGTGACACCTGTGTGACCCGGAGGCTCCCCTCCCACCTGGCAGCACCGAACTGTTGGATTTTCCAGCTCCCGGAACCCCCACTCCCTGGCATCGTAGAAACACAATGTGCCCAACAGAAGCATCCCAGGTCACCTTTGGTTAGATGAGCAGGTCAACCCGGGAGACAAGCTGACTTGGTCCGGGGGCTGGAGGACGGGAAGCGCAGCGGCCGTGCTGAGTGCATGGGCGGGCGGGCGACGCTGGGTGGACGCATCCCAGTGCCAGGGCACCAGACGGAGGCCGCCTGCTGGGCTGAAAGGCCCGGCAGTGGGCCCGCTATTGTGCAGCCCCTCCGCCAGATGAACGGGGACCCTTCCTGGTCACAATAGCCATTCACGCTGAGCAGCCTCATTAAATATTCAGCCTGTGCTTCCGGCAGCTCATTAGGGCCGCAGTGAGCAGTGACGTGGGTGCGGGAAGCCCAGGCCGGCATCAGAGCGGAGGCTGAGTGAGCGGCGGCGGCTTCTCTGCGCTGCCCGTCCCACGATGACCAGTGTGTGCTCCCTGCTGTGCCTGAAGTACAGGTAACAACAGAGCAGACCAGCCACGCAGAGGATACTCAGGGGCTGGGTCCTCATCTCTGATCTGTCTCGGGGGCCTCGGATTTTTAGTGTTTTCTCTCACCCCCCCACCCCAAGCCCTCTGACCCCTCAGGGAACTGTCTGCAGCTTTGGGAGTCTGCAGAGTCCCCACAGTGTGGTGCTATTGTGTCCGTGGCTGTGTGATGACTGTGTTTGGGAGGGTTCAAAGTATGGTTTTGAACTTGGTGCTGGGGGTGTCGAATAGCAGATTCTTCCTCTGTAACATGTCAGGTGTAGACATGTGGTGGGGTCAATCCTAGAAGTTTGTGGAGCGAGTGGACTCCATCCGAGCCAAGTTTTCCTGCCTCTGAGTGGTTCCTTACGAAGCCTCCCCCTTTGACTGTCAGGATAGGTAGGCATCATACAAAGCAAATATTCATCAGCTGTTTGGGGCTCTTCCAATGGGCGAATGCTGTCCTTCTGTGTAGCTCGTTACTTTGTTGCTGGGAGCTGTGCGGCTTGGGAAGCTGGAAGGCCTGCCAGGGGCGCACGGAACAATGACGAGCTCGGACAGAGTGCATTTCTTTGGTCTCACTGTGGGCATGTGTTTCTCTTTCCTGCACAGAAAATGCTTCCAGACGGCTCACTTCTACGTGGAGGACAGCAGCTCCCCTCGGGTGGTCCCCAATGAGAGCATCCCCATTATCCCCATCCCGGGTGAGTGCGACCCTGCCCCTCTTTCCAGCAGTTAATTGTTCCTCTCTTTTGTTCTCCGCCCTGTGTGACAGCCACGACAAGTTATTATTTGCATAGCCGGGTGACGCTTGTCCAGTTTCAGAGATCTTAACTCGGGGCAAGTTAATGAAATCTGTGCCCCTTTACGGATCTGCTAAGTGATGAAATCCTCCTTCCCAGGAACAAGTGACTGTGAACCAGATGCATAGGAGGGAGGGAGGGAACGGTAGGAAAAGGGAGAAACGTACACTTTTGCAATGTACTTGGACCAAATCTCATTTTCTTTTTTTTCTTTTTTTTTTCTTTTTTTTTTCTTTTTTTTTAATATTTTTTTTTATTATTATTAGTTAAGGTATTATAAATGTGTCCTCATCCCCCCCCATTAACCTCCAACCTCCCCCCCACACACAAACTCATGCTCCCATCCCCCTGTTGTCCATGTCCATTGGTTTGGCTTATATACATGTATACAAGTCCTTCGGTTGATCTCTTCCCCTTACCCCCGCCCTCCCCTACTTTCCTTCTGGGGATTGATAGCCTGATCACTGTTTCTCAGTCTTTGGTCCAAATCTCATTTTCATAGGTAGTTGTGTGTAGATTATTTTTTTAATCATAATGTGCAATGCATTTTTAAGATTGAGTTTCCTCCTGTGATTCCTTACTCTGAAAGTCATTTGTGTTAGAGTTGGAAGTTTGGGTTCTTAAGGTGTTTGTGTGGAGGTCGAGGGGTACGGGCTTGATCTGGAATGTATTTCATTTGTCCTCCAGTGGAAAG